CAGAAAGCTGATAATTCTATCTTTAGAGAATTTTTATACATTTTGATATACGGTAAAACCAAATATAAGGATATAACAAGAAATCTAAAAGGAATATACCAAACAAAACGAAAAGAAATGCTTCAGTTTTTTAAAGAAGTTTTGAAACTAAAACCGATGAGGATAGACGAGAAAAATATACTAGAAATATGTTTGGATGATTTCATTACTTTTTCGAAGACTCATAGAAGTCTCAGTCCTGAATTTAGACAGCTTAAGTCTAAGCTTCAAGAAATTGTTCCCGAAAAAGAAATTGAGTATGTATTGTCCGAAATATTTAAGAATCCCTCTATAAAGCCACTGGAGACAGGATTGAAAGCCTTCTCAAAGTCATTCAAATATGATTTCTTCGTATCACATAGCCATATAGATGGTAGTTGGGTAGACAAGACTTTTCTTCGACATTTGGAGAGCAAGTTTGATGAGAGCGACGTTGCTTTTAGAGGTATTTCTTTTGGTATACCATCTTAATACATATCCTACTTCAGTTTAAGTAAACACATAGTGATTATGCCAGAGCAAGTTTTGATGTATGCATAATTTTATACTTCTTATCATTTTAAGTTATATCATTTAAGATATATAGACAGTAAAACTGCTTCACCAATTCAAACATTTGATTTCTCCGTCACAATGATGTTGCAAACCTGCCAACTCAATATCCGAGTCAGGGATGGGGGGTTGTTTAAAGCATTATTATGCATCTCTTAGTATGAATAAGTATATATGTGCTTAATTGTTATTTAACTCCTTTGAATACCACTTTGGTTCATTAGTCCCCTACCGACGAAGTCGAAGGGGACTTTAGATTTGCACTCCGTCTGTCTGTCTGCCTGTCTGTCTGTCCATTCGTCAGTCCGGCAAATCAGTTTTCCACACTTTTTTCTTCGTGCTTGAAGATATTGATTTGATATTTGGTGTATTGTTTTATCATAACAAGTTACAGATCAATTTCAAATTTTGTTCCAGTCTGATGATTTTGTTCAGAGTTATGGTCCTTGGACTTAGAAAATTCACTCAAATAATCAGTTTTCCGCTCTTTTTTTTCGTCATGCTTGAAGATATTGATTTGATAATTGGTATATAGTTTTATCAAGACAAGTTACAGATCAAGTTCGAATTTTGTTGCGGTCTGATATTGTGCAGAGTTATGGTCCTAAGACTTAGAAAATGTACTTAAATAATGAGTTTTCCACACTTTTTTTCTTCATGCTTGAAGATATTGACTTGATATTTGTTATAAAGTTTACACCATGACAAGTTATAGATCAAGTTAGCATTTTGTTCCAGTACAATAAATTATTAACCGGTAGGGGACTTTGTATTGCTATGCAATACTCTCAGAATGCTTGTTTAATTGAGAATTTCAAGAGTCAGGTAAACAACTCTCATGGGAGAAATCCCAATGAATCGGGGAAAATTGGCAGGTCAGTTTTAAATTGTTTGTTCATTCAACTATATATATATCATTCTTAATTCCAATTTTAACATATTACATAGTGTGTGTACTATATTTACTATTAGAAAGAGTATAAATTTTGATATGTTTTTTTAAATTTATATAATCCTAGCAGGAATACTAGTTTTGAGAGCTAAACACAAAGGATGTTCTGTTTAAATGAAAGGAAGGAAATAATTGATTAGCGCTTTGGCATGAGCAGTATGTTTTTTATTATGTTTTGAGTAAAAAAAAAACCTATATTTTATGAATTTCAGGTTGTATTGCTGATAGGGATTTCACACCTGGCATTTCTGTTCTAGACAATATTATAGCGGCCATTCGTGAAAGTAATAAGGTGATTCTCGTGATATCAGAAAGTTTTGTGTCGAGTAACTGGTGCCAGTATGAAGCAGACCAAGCAGTCATTCGATCTCTAAAATCTAAAGCCGACAACTGCGTTATTCCAGTTCTGTTAGAAAATTGTGATATACCAGATAAAATTGCACATTTGAATTATGTAAATTTATCAACAGAAACTGATTTTAGACGAGAATTTAGACGATTGAAATTGGCCCTAATGCCAGACGACAAGTAGATTACATTTACATGTAAAGCAGGCAGTTTCTAATTGTATGATGTGGATTTTGGAAAAAAGTTAAATTACAAGTTTTCTAAGACTTAATGGATTATAAGGTCCTCGAGTTTTCTTACAAATTCTGCTAATTATAAACATAAATAACCTATGCTGGTGATAGATTTATTTTTCAATATGATTGAATTATTGTTTGTTTGCTTAAGTGGGGCATTAGCTGCGATTAAAACAAAAAAAATAAAAACGGAATATTGAAATAATATTTCGCTATAAGAAATCAGTTTGGTTCAATTTTATTAAAATAACCCTAACATATCGCTAATGTATTATAAGCTTGTATGTCAATAATTCAATATAAAAATAAGAAGTTGTGGTACGATTGCCAATGAGACAACTCTCCACCAGAGAAACTTTGTTTACTTTAAACTCTTTCGGGAAAACAGATCGTGAATAAATTCCTGTGGAGGCGCACATGCTCTTTTTTTCTTTCTGTGCCTTATATGAAAATATGCAAGCGGGGGTCGTGCTGACATGTCAGTTTTGTAGTAAAATATTCAAATGTAATGTCCTCCGCCGCACTTAGTTTAATCATGGAAGTATTATATATATTTCATTTTACTTCCATGTTTTAATGGTGATTGAAAAGATGTCAACTATACACATTCCAGTTATTGGATTAAAGGTGATTAAAAAGGTGCAGTGGTGGATGCAGGAGCCGGGGATGGGTGGGGCACCATGGACATTTTTTTTTAGTTGTTCCGATATCTGAACATGATCACGGAGGGTTTGGTTGGCGGCTTTATTATTTTTTTTTGGAGGGGGGGGGGGGGGGGGAGTGGGGGTGCTTCATTTCTGTGTTTTTATTCTTTGTTTGTAAGCCATATTTCTCTATAATAATTTTATATTTAAGCACCCTTTTTTCTTTACTCTAGTTTATAAGATAGCGCTATTGAAACAAGAAACATATATACACATTGTATGTGTTATTTAGTAAGTCTAATAAAAAATACAATAACATTTAATAAATGATATCTTTTATGATAAATGTATCATTCATCGTGTTTTTGTGTGTGGGGAGAGGGGGTTAATAAATGGTTGGTTTCTATTGAAAATTAGGAAAAGATAAATACGACATTGCGTTTTAATAAAACCTTTTTGTTCCTGTTATTGAAAAAAAACTTTTAAAATTAAATCGAACAAATGTGTGTCCCGAGAACACCACTCTTCCAACACACACACACAATAGATGAATGGCCGGCGCCTTAGTCATGCAATTTTTTAAAGACCTATTTTGGTTGACAATTCTTTCCTGAACACTGAAGAAATAACATGAGGTGTCAACAGTACTCGTGGCAGTATTCAGCTTGAATTAAAGGTCATGTACATTTAAATATATATGCATTATTAAAAATGAAAATGAAAAATGTTATCATAATAAGAAATGTACCATAATATCGATATACAAATGTTGCCGGTTTATTCACGTCAGCTAAATGTCGATTTACAAGTATTCATCTGAAGTATACAGTTTTCAAATAACATAAATGCAAGATGCCAATTGACATTACAAATTTCGAATTACAAATATACAGCTCACAAATGTACAAATTACGCCGGAAAGTACATATCACTAATGTACCATGTATGATGATGTAGCAATGAATAACGGAAAATCAAAATTAGAATTTTGAATTACATAGTTGCATAGTTCGAATTGCATTTCTCAAACATTCAATTGTCGAATTGCACTGTAACAGATTAAGAATTGCAAAGTTGGAATTTCAAAATTACCGAGTTACGTACATACAATTTAAGAATTGCAAAGTTGGAATTATGACACCTGTAATCGGAGAGCATGATTCTACATACAAAATCATCTTTGTCTACACCGGGACTCGAACCCGGGACCTCTGTGTTACAAGGCAGCGCGTTAACCGGCTGAGCTAAAGAAGTACTTCCTTAGATCAACCGCTTACGGCTGACTAAGTATCTACTAATGAAGGGAAGCAATCCCGTCACACACCTTTGGCTTTCCATAGAAAAGCGCGTCGGTCGCATGAAATTTATATAGTGTTGTTTTCCTTTTTTTTATTAGATGGCGTCAAGTGTAAAACACACGAAACGCTGATACATTTTAACGAGTCCATGCATTACTAATTGTTTTTTTTTTTACCTTTTTTGTAATTCGGATATATGTTTTAGTATGTTATAAATCAAACTCTGTTATAAAGTTATAAATCTGAATTTAAGTCAAATCGGTGATCATGAAGTAGACAGGTTTGCCTCTTTTATGTCCAGTGGTAAATAGTTGATAACAAAATAACAAAGAATACAACCGGTAGTTTCTACAAGGTAAGAACCCACAGGGATGAAGGGCGGAAAAAAAATTGCACGCCGAGGCATTGGATTTAGCGCCTTCTTTTGACCGGACGTGGCTGTGTATTTAAACATACAGCACACCCAAACAGACGACCCACTTAAACAAGGGTTTTACTGCCGAAACTGTAAAGTCCCAGGGATGACCATATGCCGGTCTATACCCCAGTCAACCCTTTGGGGTTCTTTCAATAAATGATATGCCCACACAACATTTATAATAGATGGCCGGTTCTTTTTTATTTGATCTTATGGCACCAGTATGGATACATTGTTTGCTCCTTTGCTCTTTAATATTATATTCCGCTTTTTTAAGAGAATGCATATAATAATCAATGTATCCTTTTGTCATTCCGTTCATTCGTTCGTCCGTCTCACGTCAGCACCTTGTATCATAAAATCATCCTTTAACCAGAGACCGGATTTAAATGAAATTTCACTAAAAATTTATTGATCTAAGTGTCCAATTGCATTGTGTACCTCCTATAATTTATTCCTGGATTCAAAGAGTTAGTTGGGTTTCTCATAGCAAAACATGGACTCCTTAATTATATTTCTAAGATTTTCGTGAGATATAATAATGCATTGACCTTCAATTCTAATCAAATAACAGCTCTTTAAAGTACACCCCTGAATAAAAAATGTTACAATCCAGGTAATACCTTACTGCGCATGCCCATAGGTAACATCGTATACCTCGGGCTACAATAGATTGACTTTCAATTTAGCTCTCTTTGAGTTAAGACGTTTTTTTCCAAATTATTTAAAGGTTAGTGGGTTTATTATTTTAGTTAGCATGGCTAACGCCCAACTCAATGACATTCCGTTAGGGATGCCTACACCGTCTCGAGAGAGCGGTGCACTTGATTCGGAAGACCATAGGGTCATTGAAGAAAATGAAAGTTTTACCGCAGTGGCGGTAGAAACTGATAAGGTAGTCGAGTCTTTGGGCTCTTCTCACAAGGCGAGGAGAAATATCTCTTCTCGTCAAGATGATGAAATGTCGTTGGTCGACGGGACAGAAGAAGATGTCAGACAGAGCTGGTCTGACCTAGATACCAAAACTCCTAAACGGAAACGGGACGATTCCGTACCTAACAGAAAAGGTAAGGTTAAACACAGGAAAGTTGTTAATCATTCTAGCAGTTCCTCTGAAAATACTAGTAGCAGTGAATCATCTTCTAGTAACTCTGAATCAGAGAGTTCAGAAGACAATGAAGCGTTTGACCAAGAACCTTCTTTGTCTAAAGATAAAAAAGAAAAAGTACCATCTCATATTACCAAATATATAGAGAAGTATGCTCTAAAGGGTATAAGTAAAAAGACGAGACAAGATATGTCTTTGAATTGGCCTATTCCTTCTTCTAAAGGATTAAAGGCTCTTGAAACAGATAGATTTTTTAAGAAAAATTATTTTCAAGGTAGAAAGTGGAATGCTAGACTAGAGAGAAGTAAAATTAACACACAGCTACGCATTCTAGATGTTATGGGTCCTCTGTCCCGTTTATGGTCTGAAGCACATAGGATTAAGAAAGATAATCAAGGTATGGACCCTGCTGATGTAATTCAATTAACACAGAGGGCTATCGTGCTAGCAGGTAATGCTCACTATGTTTATAACACTGACAGGAGAAAAGCAATGTTAGTTAAAACAATGCCAGATAGTCTAGATTTTTTAAATGAGAAGAAAGGCAAGAAAGCTTTGGCAAAATCTAAGGGTCAACTTTTTGGTAATAAATTTCTAAAATCTTTGGCTAAAGAAAACAAGGATAACAAAGAACTTAGAGAAATGTTGTTGTTTTCTAACAAGAAAAAACATGCTGGTAAACCTCATTTTAATAGGAAAAATGATCAGTTTTTTCAGCAGGGGCCCACAAACAACCTGCAGTCTGTGGGCGGCAGACAAGCTCTCCATCCACAAGTTTCAGGGAAGAGACCTTGGCAGGGAAACCAGTCACAGAACAGACAGGAGAACAGTTATGGTCAGCGCCAGAATCCGCGCCAGAACCAGACCCAGAACCAAATCCAGACCCAACCTCAGAACAACCAAGTGTTCAAGAAACCTGCAAACCGATAGAACGGGTAGGTCAAGAGAAAACTTTAAGTCATATACAAAACTATTTCCAATTACCAATGAATTGCATTATCAATCAAAATTCTATTCCTGTAGGGGGAAGGGTAAGTCTTTTCCTACAGAATTGGAACTCAATAACAAAAGATCCTTGGGTTCTCCAGTGTGTAAAAGGAATAAAATTAGATTTTTTAGCAACACCTTACCAAAATCAAATACCAAATCAAGCCTTTTTCAATCAAGAGAATCAGGAATTGATAAACAAAGAAATAACAGGACTTTTGAACAAGAAGGCCATAACACAGTCTTTCCTGACAAAGGATTCGTTCATAAGCAACATTTTTCTGGTACCAAAGAAGGGAGGGGGTCAAAGACCTGTTATAAATCTAAAAGGCCTAAATGTTTTTTTACGTTACGAACATTTCAAAATGGAGGGAATTCATTTGTTGAAAGATCTTCTTTTGAAGAACGATTGGATGGTAAAAATAGACCTAACGGATGCATATTTGACATTGCAAATAGCAAAAGAATACAGAAAATACCTCAGATTTTTTTGGCAGGGAAAAATAATGGAATTCAGGTCCCTCCCGTTTGGGATTGCAGTAGCCCCAAGAATATTAACAAAACTGATGAAGGTTCCCATGACTTTATTGAGACGTTTGGGTGTACGTCTGATAGTTTACCTAGACGATATTCTAATAATGAATCAGTCAAATCAGAAAATTTTGTCAGATCTCTCAACAGTTTTGTCAATATTAAGGGGCTTAGGTTTTCTGATCAATACAAACAAGTCCGTAATGGAACCTTCACAAACAATGGAGTTTCTGGGTTATACAGTAAACTCAAAGTTGTTGACTTTGTCTCTCCCGAAGGAGAAGGTAGAGAAAATAAAGAACAGTTCAAAATTAATGCTAGAACACAAGAAAGTGTCAGCAAAAGATTTAGCTCAGTTGATTGGTCAGTTAACAGCAACCAATCAAGCTGTCCTTCCAGGTCCTCTGCATTATCGCAGATTACAAATATTGAAAACAAAAGCCCTGCATTTGGGGGGCCATTACGATCATCAAATCCAGTTAAACGAGGAAGTTCAGAACGAGTTGAATTGGTGGGTAACCAAACTGAGGTCTTGGAACGGGAAAGCGTTACTAAGACCAGAACCCCATTTAACCATTCAGTCGGATGCAAGTATGTCGGGATGGGGAGCAACATGTCAACAGATAAGTATAGGTGGGCTTTGATTAGACGAGGAAAAATCCCTCCATATAAATCAGCTCGAGCTAAAAGCAGCTATGTTCGCAGTACAATCTTATGCCAAAAATCTACAAAACAAGCATATTCTTATACAAATGGACAACACGACAGCAATTGTATATGTAAACAAAATGGGGGGAACGGTGTCAAAAAAACTAAATTCCCTTGCAAATCAGTTTTGGGATTGGTGTCTTCAAAGGCAATTAACAATCACTGCGGACTATATCCCAGGAAAAAGCAATGTTATAGCAGACTGGGAAAGCAGGCATTATGCGGATTTCAGCAATTGGCGGTTAAGTCCGATACTTTTCAAAAGTCTCATGAAACGCATAGGCCCATGCAATGTAGATCTGTTTGCAGACAGGTCAAATAATCATCTGAATCAATTTTTCAGCTGGAAGCCAGATCCCCAAGCGAAAGCGGTAGATGCCCTTCTCCAATCCTGGAGAGAGATAAAGGGTTATGCTTTTCCCCCGTTCTGTCTAATAAGGACGTGTCTGGCGAAAGTTCGGGAGGAGAACAGTCAGATAATTCTGATAACTCCAGTTTGGCAATCCCAGGCTTGGTACCCTCTGTTACTTCAAATGTCAGTAGATTACCCAGTGTTACTTCCCATGAGTCACAACACTTTATTGTCTCCCATGAAAGAGCCACACCCACTGATTCTGAACAAAACATTAAAATTAGCAGGGTGGACGGTCTCCGGAGATCATTTAACTCAATTGGAATTTCAGAGGAAACTAAAGAATTACTCCTTGGGTCTTGGAAATCAGGAACAAGATCTTCTTACGACAGTGCCTGGAATAAGTGGTCTAGCTGGTGTAACTCACGGGAAATTGATCCCTTTTCAGCACCTTTGGCCGCTATCTTAGATTTTTTGACTTGGATGTATAAAGAGGGGTATCAATACAGAACTTTAAATGTTCACCGTTCTGCCATATCTTCAGTCTTGCCATATATCGATGGCGTCCCAATTGGTCAATTACCTATAGTAAAACAGTTAATGAAAGGTGTTCTACAAAATAACCCACCTTTACCAAAATACCAATTTTCATGGGATTTGGATATTGTTCTCAAATATTTATCCGCTTTACCAATAAACAAAAAACTTGATTTTTCAGTTTTAGGTAAAAAGTTATCAATTTTATTGGCTTTGGCAGCGCCTAAAAGGATATCTGAAATTGCAAGGTTAGACAGAAGATTCATGTCCAGAGACAAAATTAGTATAATTTTTCACTTACCGGGTCTGTTTAAAACACAAAAAGATTGCAATAACAGATCAGTGAAATACTGCAAATTTTCAAAGAAAAAATTATGTGTTATTTCTTGTATACATGAATATGAATTGAGAACTGAACATTTAAGGCCTGTAAGTAAAAATGAACCTGATCCTTTATTAAGGTCAACTAAGAAACCTTTTAAAGGTCTATCTTCACAGACAGTTGGAAATTGGATTAAATGGGTTATGAAGGAGGCAGGAATCGACATCTCATTGTTTCAAGCACATTCTTGTCGCATGGTCTCAACTAGCAAGGCAGCTATGAGTGGCATCAGTATGGATGATATTTTGTCCATGGCAGATTGGTCCAACACTAGAACGTTTAATAAATTTTATTTTAGGACTAATGAAAAAGCGGGTTTTGCAGATAAAGTTTTAGAAATGGTAAGCTTGCTTTAAACGTGCATTATTATATCTCACGAAAATCTTAGAAATATAATTTCAGATTTTATGAGGGCGCAAAGCGCCCGAAATGAAATATTGATTATATGATAAGATTAGAGTGAGATATAATAATGCATTTCCCACCCATCCCACCCAAATGCATTATTATAGAGAAATTAAATACATTGCAAATAGATATGGTATGATAACAATAAGACGACTCTTGATCTAAGTATTTCTAAACAGTATTTAATAAAATATGAAATATTACACAGAATGTTTATTCTCGAATGCAAACTTGAAATATACATCTATATCATTATATTTTTCAGAACGGATAGCGTTGGATGGACATGTATATGACTGGTATTCCAAACAATAATTGCAGTATTGTGGCAGTGTGGCGGAATATGATAAAGAACATTTATATGCAGTTTTTTCGTGGACTATAAAGAAATTACTGACTTTACCGTGTATACTCTGTGAAATATTTTGATGTACATTTGATAATACAAATGATTATTTTCTGTAGTTATTTTTTTTTAAGTAACTGCCTTATTATATCTATTCAGTCCAAACAGTTCAGTCTTCAGATGTTTGGTCAGACTTCACAGGTGGTAATACTTGGTCTTGGACACCAGGAAAAAAGACTTTAGATGTTGGATTTTGCTTTTTGCTTAGTAAAGTGATAATTGGTATTTTGGGTGTCAATTTGTTTATTCATTATCCAGATGCGTAGAAATATGTCTATGGTAAAACTATATCCATTGTTTACTGAATCGGTTACTTTCGTAGCAGATCTACATCATTTGAACAAAAACATGATATTTTATTGGTTCAGATCTTGGTTTTTGGTTGTTTTATATCAAACATAATTGTTTGAAGTTTTAGGTTTGGCTTCATTGAAAGTCAATCTATTGTAGCCCGAGGTATACGATGTTACCTATGGGCATGCGCAGTAAGGTATTACCTGGATTGTAACATTTTTTATTCAGGGGTGTACTTTAAAGAGCTGTTATTTGATTAGAATTGAAGGTCAATGCATTATTATATCTCACTCTAATCTTATCATATAATCAATATTTCATTTCGGGCGCTTTGCGCCCTCATAAAATCTGAAATTCAATTCGAATGGTTTGTGTGTGTTCACGCAGCAAAAATGTAGACTTTGCCATATTTATACAACTTTTGAGCAGAATATAAATTTGTGAGCTCAGTTTTTTCCCAGTGTTCTATGTCAAGGACAAACTCATTGCTGTTTGCAAAAAGTCAAATAAAAGTGAATAACAACACGTTAATTGGATGATAACAGTCTTCCATTTAGTGAGTAAAACATATTTCTCTCCCTTTCATCTATAAAAATCGTCCCGGAAAAAGATATGAACAACGAAAATATTCTAGTACTTGCAATTGTGTGGGCATGTGGGTGTGGCTGTTGCTTTATATAATTTCCCTCAAAATTCAAATATTTGAACCTGAGGACAAAGGTTAAAGTCTGATGTCAATACAGTGATCTGTGATGCATCCATATCATAAAAATCAAAAGTATATGACAATGACAAAAATGAAATGAGCCGACCAAGAAGATGTCCTAAAAGATCAAATATTTGACTTTGAGGTCAAAGGTCAAGGTTTCGCGAAGGTCATCATGATAAGCGACTCGCTGTCTTATTCTTAAATGCCTGTTTATACAAAAAATCATGTCAGTACTGGTTAAAAGATTAAAAAGTTGAAACCTAGATATAAGGTTGTATAAGAAAAAGAAAACAAAAGGTCTTCTTTCTTCTAAGAGGAGACATAATAATACAATAATCATTATGAAAAAATCAGCAACAGAAAAGAATGCTATATATCTAAAGCTCTAGTTATTCGACACACTTAAATCTTAAAGCTATTCACAAATGCTACTTCTAATATATTCTTCTTGTTTATTTATTATAACTCTAAAATTTTGGTTTTCTTGCAAATATTCGAGAAACATGAATAAAAGGAGATGGTGGGGTTTACGTCAATGAGACAGCAACCAAACGCCAAAATAACCAAAAGATATCTAGAGGACAACATAGTCCTTAACAATAGATAGGAGTCTATACAATATGTCAAGCTATATATCGTACCAAGCGTGAATAAATTCAACAGAAAAAAATCAAAGGCCTGTAATTACTACCCAATTCTCCAAATAACGAAAAAGCATTAAGATATGACATACAAAGTCTGTATTACTATGCTAGTCAAGTAGTAACACCTCTTTAAAATGCTTGGAAGGTATACTGGTATATTTTTGAATGTGCGAAGTTCAAGAAGAAGGATAATATAAATAGCATTCACTTGACCCCCCAAAAAAGCTTTATTGTGTGACATGCAGCCGTATTATTCTTCGATATCAATTTGCAGAAAACCTGATAATCTACTAATCGAGAAGATCTTAACAGTGTCATTTAAAAACTAGTTCAAACTTTTAATGGATAATCTATTTTGAACAAAAGATTTTATTTTTATGTTTTAAGCTGAACAAACATTACTGATACATATATAGCCTAGTATATAACTCACTGCTCGACAGCAGAAGCGAACAGAGTTTTGGCCAGGATCCCAGCCTACCATATATAATTAACATTTTAAAATAGCTATGTAAGCACGTGTACAGAGACGATATTGCCTAGTATTTAAATATCACACGCTTTCCTAAAAAATCATTTCCGAATAACTTAAAGACTAAACCCACATTATCCCAATTAACTGTAGGTGAGGGAATTCGAACCCAGACAATGAGAATAATATAGGTTGTGAAGGATAAACTGAGCGTAACATGTCGGGTCTGTACACAGAAACACATGTCCTGTGCTGAAATAGATATGATGAATGGGAACAGATGTTTTTGAAAGGAATAAATCGACGCAGAACAATCTTATGAAAATTAGATCTTTATAATTCCTCCCCCTTTTCTAGCTGTTATTGGATTATATGTCTCTACTATTTCATAATGAATTGACTTTAAAAATCAACTCCGAGTTTTTTTCGAGTCTCCAACGTTTTAGTTAACATTAATTGAAAGTTGAAACTTTGACTATACAGGAGTGGTCGGAGGGTTCTAGTCACCACATTTCTCTTCTTAACACTTGAATTCAATTTATACTTTTTTCATTGGATCAGACACATCAGTATTGTATTGTATGTCTCTGATTGGATAATAAATTGTCTTAGAGATCATATATAAGTTTTTGACCAGTGTCTGTACTTTTACTATTGTCTTCATAAATCATAGTCATCATTTCTAAGTTAATGTTTACCCTGATTCCTTTTCTCTTTTTAAATTGAGTTAACAGTTAAAAGTTGAAAATGAGATGTAAGTCTTTAATTAAGACTCGGCCACGATCAGTTGCCTATTTCATATATTTTCTTTCTAATTTAACCAAGGGTAAGACTTACAATATAAATCCTTGATTTAACTTACTTTAGTACATTTTATTTGTTGATAAATTCAAGGTATATTATATATAGTGAGTCGATCTTACTATAAATCCTTGATAAATTGACTTTAAAAATCATACATTAGGCCAACCTTAAAAATATGTTTGTTTGCAGTTTTCCGACTGTACCTTTAGACTGAAGGGTCGGTAGGTAGGAAAAATATTTTATTTTATCAGCCAAAATGAAGTTTAAACAAGCAGTTACACAAACCAAGTTTCTTGTGAAGAAATTTTTTTTAAAACAACAAACACTGAAAACCAACATGAAATGAACAGGCATTTTCAGATAAAAACTTTTCAACCAAAATTGAAACTATAACATGGTGTGATTATCCAATTTATGACATTATTAAATACTAGTACTGGAACACTTATAAGATCTTATAAACAAGGAATGACTAGAATTGTTTTAAAGAAATTGTTCACTGACATATATGCTTCTTTACTAGAAAGTTTTCATGAGTAGAGTATTTTCATTAGGAAAATGTAGATATCAAAGATTCATAAGACAATGTAAGAGTGTTATCAATAAAAAAATTAACCATTGAATCTTTCTCAATTGAAAAAAAAAAAAACTTGAAAAAATATATTTGACATCGGACTGTTTTCATAAATCTAACAATATTTAATTATATGTAATAAGGTTATATTTTGAAAGATATGTTGATGTGATCAGGCTTTAATTAAAACCAAAAAAAAAATCTTAAGACTTCAGGGTGAAATCAATAGCACCCCTTTAAAAGTAAATGGTCTGTACTGAAATGTTTTGACTGCATAAAAAAATGGCAGCATAGCTCCTAAGGACATGTTTTAATTCAATTCACACAAGCCACACTGTTTGGGTATATTTAATATTGTAAGAGGGAGAAGAATTGCAATGAGTGGGGTAGCTCCCCTTATCCTAAAGGAGCATACTCATTGCAATAGAAGATAGATTTAACATAGAGAAAGTATATTTATTTTTACAAGCCAACCATTCATTTTCTTTTCATCTTTGTGTAGTTTCTGTGGCTTCTTATAGATTTGGCATTGTCTATCGATTATAAATTTCAAATGCGCCCTTCCTGGCGTGTTTACAGGTATCCATGAAGTCATGGAGAAGTGGTTTCATCCTTGTTGTCTTTACAACGTTTTATAGAAACTATGGCATACTTCAGGCTGCTGTCAAATTGTTTAACCACTGATATTGGTTCCATAAAGTCAGGCTCAAGAGATTCTGTACCCGATCTGTTTGAGATTGAAACGGTTATCGTGTCGGTTCAAATTTATGAATATCCGCTGCATCATGCGTTCTCAAATCGTCAATGATATCTGTCTGAATCTGTATAAACAGTTTACTATTAAACTTTTTTGGTTGTTATTTGTTTTAAAATTGACAGAAAACGACAGCGCAAAGTACTCCTCCATGTCTTCATCGATACCTGGGGCGTGTTTTTTTGTTCTTCGGTAGTGAGCCAGAAGAGGTCCATTTTTATTTTTTTGAATTAGGAAGATCTTCTGGCTCTCTTCCATCTCTTCTTTTTAAATAGGTGGTTTAGACGGCAGAGGCAAAAAACAAACATGGCGTCTTTAAGTCTAAATGACATTAATTAATTCGTGAATGAAGATATATTAGAATGTGAGCTGTGTTATAAACGTTTTTATGGTATGACAGCCATAGTAGGACATCTCTGTAGGACGATAAGCTGGCTGAATATAAGAACTACACGGACAATAACAGTTAAGGGTCAACTATTTGAAATCCCTAGGGAAGGGATTTTGATTCATTGGTGTTTTACGCTACTTTCAACACTCATGATTGGGCTCAGTAGTAGTCAGTTTAAATCAATAGATGAGGAATAAATGAAGAAGGAAAGAGGGCATTATTATTCATTTTAATTTTTCGCTAATCATGCCTATTTTTTAGCTCTTACCAGGAAACCATATTCATATACGAAATCCTCCTGTCCCCCATCCCAACAAATAAATAAATATCAAATGGTTTCTCTTATTAAACACAAGTTTAAATTGATCATGCTAATTTTTAACGACCAGTGACAAATATTTCATGCATGTTCAGGAAAACACGAGATAAAAAAAGGTCGGATAAATTATATAAAAACGAAGAGATGTGATATGATTGCTATTGAGGCAACTATCCTAATATGAAGTGGATGTAAGCAATATATAGACAACCTTAAGGCCTTCAACACTGACGAAACCCGATACTGTAAAGCCGTTTATAAAAGGCCATTAAAAGTGTGAAACAATTCAAACGATAAAACTAACGGCCTAATTATACAAAACAAAACAATTTACAAAATATCAAATATGAGTTGAGACATGAACCAACGACAACCACTAAACTACAGACTCCCGTGACTTTGGACAGGTTCAATGATAAAGAATATGGCAGGGTTTATATAAAAACGAAGATGTGGTATGATTTCCAATGAGACAACTCTTCACAAGAGACCAAATGCTACAGAAATTAACAGCCATATGTCACAATACGGCTTTCAACAATAAACAAAGCCCATACTGACCACATAGTGAGCTATAAAAAGCCCCGAAATCGCAAATGTAAAACAATTCAATGGTAAAAGCTAACGGCCTAACTAATGTACAAAATAAAGTGAACGAAAAACAAATAAGTAACATAGCAACAAACGACAACCACTGACTTACAGGCTCCTGACTTGGGACAGGCACATACATACAGAATGTGGCGGCGTTAAACATGTTAGCAGGATCCCAACCATGCCCTACCTGGGACAGCGATGTAACAGTACAACATCTTGTTTGTGAGAGCTCAATCCTCCCCGAAGCTGAAACAGTAGTGTAGCAGTTCAATATAAGAACAACCTGCGCAAATCAGTTGCAATTAGATTAACTCAAAAGATCGGTACGAGACACACAAAAGAAACCGGCCAACTAACATTAAGACAATAGACTCAAAGCATCGAACTAAGAGTATTTGCAATTACTAGAAGTTTGTTCAAAGCTAGTTGCAACTAGTACTGAAATAAATCTTGTTCTCCAAGACTTAAGTATCAATCAGTACACAACCAACTGATTTATTAAATAAAAGTCTAAGAAACGTCTGTTATACGTTGTAAATCCATTGGTGGCCTTCGGCTATTGTCTGCTCTTTGGTCGGGTTGTTGTGTCTTTGACACATTCCCCATTTCCATTCTCAATTTTATTACATCTAGATCCATATACAATAAAAAAAAATTGAAAAGTCCGAATTAAGGTTTTGACCATCGAAATTTTGCATTAGAAATAATAGTTAGGATCAGAAGATTTTCTTTATGGACCGCCAGAGAAAAACGATTTTTTCGAACTTTCTGATATCTTGTTAATCCAGTTCGGTTACTTTAAAAAAAAAAATATGGAAAGACTAAGATTTCCTTTTTGATCAGTCATATTCCAGACAAACATTGACGAATTCTTGTGCAGTTTAAGATTATTCTTAAAAATCAAATAGTGGGGGTTAAGCCTGATTTGTTTAGCAAAATTGAGTTGGACGTATCTAAATTTTCTAAAAAAATCGTAAACTTAATTTATGTCATCCAACATAACAGAAACCTGCTATATTCGACGGCAAATTGCATTTTTATTTTATTGACCTCCCATAGAATATCTCCAGAAGAGGTCCAGATTCATTTTTTTGGACTCTTCACCAGAAGACATTCTGGAGATGTACCGAAGAGACCAATAAAACACACCCCTGGGGCGTGTTTTTTTGTTCTTCGGTAGTGAGCCAGAAGAGGTCCATTTCTGTTTTTTTGAATAGGGAAGATCTTCTGGCTCTCTTCCATCTCTTCTTTTTTGATAGGTAGTTTAGACGGCAGAGGCACATAACAAACATGGCGTCGTTTAGTCTAAATGACATTAATAAATTTATGAATGCAGATATATTAGAATGTGAGCTGTGTTATAAACGTTTTTATGGTATGACAGTCTTAGTAGGACATCCGTGTAGGACGATAAGCTGGATAAATATAAGAACCGCACGGACAATAACAGTTAAGGGACGACTATTTGATATTCTAGGGAAGGGATTTTGATTGATTATTGTTTAACGCTACTTTCAACACTAAGTTGGGCTATTCCGTGGTGGTCAGTTTAAATTTATAGATCAAGGATGGGGAAGGGAAGAGGGCATTATTAACTGTTTTAATCTGTCGCTAATTATGCCTATTTTTCAGCTCTTATCAGGCGACTATATTATATATGAAATCCTCCTGTCCCCCACCCCAATAAATGAATAAATATCAAATGGTTTTTCTTCTTATTTAACACAAGTTTAAATTGATTGATTGTTTGTTGCTAATTTTTAACGCCCAGTGACAAAAATGTCATGCATGTTCAGGACTCGGTTCAGGAAAACACGAGTTTAAAATTCAGGTATATGATATAAAAACGAAGAGATGTATGATTGCTAATGAGGCAACTATCCACCGGAGTTCAAATATGAAGTGGATGTAAGCAATTATAGGCAACCGTAATTAAGGCCTTCAACAATGACAAAACCCGATAATGTATTAAAAGTCGTCAATAAAAAGCCCGACGTGAAAAGTGTGAGAAACAATTCAAACGAAAAAACTAACGGCCTAATTTTACATAACAAAATAATTTACAAAATATCAAAGTCGAGGCATGAACCAACGACAACCACTAAACTATAGGCTCCTGACTTGGGACAGGCACACAAAGAATATGGCAGGGTTGATATAAAAACGAAGATTGCCAATGAGACAACCCTCCACAAGAGACCAAATGACACAGCAATTAATAGCTATAGGTCACCGTACGGCCTTCAACAATAAGCAAAGCCCATACCGCAAAGTCGTCTATAAAAGGCCCCGAAATCACAAATGTAAAACAATTCAAACGAGAAAACTAACGGTCTAATTAATGTACAAAAAAATGAACGAAAAACAAGTATGTAACACAGCAACAAACGACAACCACTAAATTACAGGCTCCTGACTTGGGACAGGCACATACATACAGAATGTGGCGGGGTTAAACATGTTAGCGGGATCCGGCCCAACCCGCCCCCTAACCTGGGACAGTGGTGTAACAGTACAAGAACATGTTTGTGAGCGCTTAATCCTTCCCGAAGCTGGGACAGTGGTGTAACAGTACAATATAAGAACAACCTGCACAAATCAATTGCAATTAGATTAACTCAAAAGATCGGTACGAGACACACAAAAAAAAGTTACATTAAGACAAAAGACACAAAGCACCGAAATAAGAGTATGCAATTACTGGAAGTTTGTTCAAAGCTAATAACAACTAGTACTAAAATAAATCTTGTTCTCCCAGACTGAAGTATCAATCAGTACACAACCAACGGATTCATTAAAAAAAAAAAGAAAAAAAAACTGTCTGAGAAATGTCTGGTATACATTGTATACTTGCATATTGATAAAATTTTTGAAAAGTGGTGGTCCGAAGGTTTTGACCATCGAAATTTTGCAATAGAAATAATAGTTAGGACCAGACGATTTTCTTCAAGGACCACCAGAGAATAATGATTTTGAGAACTTTCCGATATCTTTGCTTTATACAAAAATAATCCAGTTTGGTTACTTTAAAAAAAAAATGGATAGACAAGATGTCCTTTTTGATCATATTCGAGACAATCATTGACGAATTTTGTGCAGTTTAAGATTATTCTTAAAAATCAAATAGTGGGGGTTTAAGCCAGATTTGTCTAGCTAAATTGATTTAGAGGAAAGAACAAAGAAAAATGTCACGAACAGAACACACTTGCAGTCATGTCTAACGGACGTATCTTAACTTTCTATAAAATCATCGTAAACTTCATTTATGTCATCCAACATAACAAAAATCTGCTATATTCGACGGCAAATTGAATTTTTGTTTTATTGATCTTCCGTAGAATATCTCCAGAAGAGGTCCAGATTCATTTTTTTGGACTCTTCACCAGAAGACATTCTGGAGATGAGCAGAAGAGACCAATAAAACACGCCCCTGTAAACAATCTCCATGTGCTTTATTATTAAACGGTCCCATGTACGCTTGACAAGAAGGTAAGAAAAACCGAACTTGAAACGTGTAAATCGACCCAGACTTTAAATCAATTCCGGAAACGACTAGAAGTTCCTGATTGCGTCAATAGAAAAATAAAAATAATTTCTTCAAATTAAAAGCAATAAAATTTTCACAGTCGGGCGGATTTTCGAGGGTCGGTCGGTAAACTGCAAACAAACAATATTTTAATTTAAGCCTTAGGTTTTGGGCTGGGCCGGCTCTGTTTTTTTTTTTCTGAAAATAACTGGTGGAAAGAGTAAAACTTGACATACGGTATCTAAACATTATACAGCAATGTTTACATCATTAAATATCTATTTATATACTGTAAATTCAGAAATTATTGCGAGGTTTTTATTAATGCGAATAATGCGACTGGGTGACTATCGCAATAATAAGAACTCGCATTCTGATGTCTGTTACATATATCTGTATGCAGATTTTCATGATATCGCAATAATTAATCTCGCATTTTTGTCCATTCTTGAAAAATCGCAATAATAAATGCACGCAATAATTTCTGAATTTACAGTACGCTTTACAAATCAGTTTAAATTTTAAATATATGCCGAGCCGTTCCCAAGATACCACTCAATACCACTGACGGAATAAATGATATAGAATATTTGTTCCAACAGGAACAGATATTATGACATTGTTTATAACAAAGTTTCCAGTGGAACTTCTGTTAGGCGGAACAAATATACGTTGACATTTCCGCGTTGTAGACAGTACCAGACAAGGTCAATTTATTCGTCCGACCTTCACCTTATAAACCGAAAGGGAAAGTATAGCAAAAATTAAAGGATAGTCACATCACGTATATAATTTGAGACTAATTACTGAAGTTACTGCAAAACTAAACAGCTTTAACCGAAAAGTTCATATTAAATTGTGTTTACTAGTGTTATCGTAAAAGACAGTGACTCTCAGTCACCAACATATAGCCTGAACAGTGAAGAGACCTGCGTTGCGTGAGTTCAAAGAATTTGTCTAAAAGCGGATAGTAAACAAAGAAAATCATGGCTTTAGATAGACATTTGCGCATAGATTCTCAAGAAGGGTAAGTTTAACCCTTATATTTGAATAAATTGGGACTTTTACCTATAAGGATTCAGAGATACATGAGGAGTATTCGTTACCTACTATACACAGTGTAAGGTTCTATTCTGCAGCTAGGGCTTACTGATTTGGATTTAAAATTCAAGATTTTTTTTGACCAATCATGGACCCTCAAGGGGTATATACTAATAATGACCAATAATAAATAATTTCATAATGATTATAGAATATCAAATTATAAAAGATAAATTGGTCATGTTGGTAGCGCTCAAATAATTGTACAAAAAAGCAAATAATATATTGTATATGATAAGTATCATGGAATACAGGCATTGATCCAGCCATTTTTTTTAAAAGGGGGTGGTTCAAACACATTCAAATTGTATAAAAAAGGGGGTTCCAACCATTTGTCCCCATGAAAAAGCATTAGTTGTCAAACAAAAAAAAAGGGGGGGGGGTCCAACCCCAAGAACCCCCTGGATCCACCACTGGAATAATAAAAAGTAAATATTAGCAAATTATTAGATTGGAAGGTTTTCTTAAGTTTTCGATAAGGAAAAAAACACAAAAAAAAAAGAAAAATGGATGAAAGAGTATAACATTGTATAGATATTTTTCCCATGTACTGAAATCAGTCTTTAACCAAAATTTGAGTATAAATTTGGATGACTGTTTGATTTACTCTTGAATATATTGCTGAATGCTGTATTTGGTTCAGAGAAGTTTTAGTAATGTTCCTTTTTTTGTCAATGTATCAAGAAGTTTAAATTCATTCACTAGGTGAGTATGTTTAATGCACTGGAGTTCATTGTTGAAATGTTACATGTATAAGTCATGTATTTAATATGTGACTTTGTACTTTCAGGATATCCTTTGTCAGGAATATACACCTTGATTCCATGGAAGAAGATGTCTTGTATCACTTGGCCCTTAGCAACAAATCACATGACCTTAAAGAAATTTTTGGCGATGTGAAGGTATCATTTCTTTGATTTAATAAAAGATATATTTAATTTTCTTCTCACAACTTTAAACTGAATACATTTTAAAAAATTTAATTCCAACTTTGATTCAGATCAGTTAATAAATATTGCATAAGTGTTTTTTTAGAAAAAGGGTCTAATTTTTATATCTTAGACTAGTACAGTTGGTGGTACAAAAATACCCAAGACAGGGGAGGAAGAGTTATGCTAGCCAAAGGATAAATTATTTAAAATTCACAGGTCAATTATATACAAATATAGGACAGAAAGTCACAGGACGAAAAGTCACAGACAAAATGTCACAGGACAAAAAGTCACAATTCAGTTCTGACATTATTTTTCTTGAACTATTATATATAAAACAACTTTGTAAACTTAATGCATTCTAAAAAAATCAATAATGATCAAATAATTGTTAAGAAAACAATTTGTTAAAGTGGCTTGGTACTTAAATGGCTTCATGATGCCAAGAAATATATCCTTTGCATGATAAAAATTTGATAAATTTTCATTTATCAAGGCTTATACCACATCTTCTTATTTTTATATTATAAACAATTTCCTTAACTGTAAAATGAAAACATGTAATAAAAAGAAATTATTTCAAGATCTTTCTGTTATATATGCAAACAATTATAAACAATTTATTTGTGACTTTTTGTCCTATCAAATTTGTGACTTTTTGTCCTGTGACTTTCTGTCCGCTTACCTTATGACTCTTGGGTGAAAAGACACTGAGTTTTTTTAATTTTCAAATATGACTCCCAATTTAAAAATTAGAGTTACCTGTATTTAAATACAGGTTTCACACTGATGCAAATTTTTCATATTACAAATATGATGAAAAATTATGATACTTTTAATTTCTTATTTGAGTAACGATTTAATCATTAAATCATTACTCAAATAAGAAATTTAAAGGATATGCCTTTTTTACCCTCTCTGCAGTGGTATTTGCCAAAAAATACTCTATCCGACTGGACGCTTGTAACATCACGATCATCAATGCGTTTTTGAACGTTAACATTCGGTGTAATTAAACAGATATAGCATGTTCTTGAGGGGTATTTGCGAAAAATACCAGTCTTGAGAATGAATTTCCCTTGCCTTACGGCTCCTGAAATTTAACATTCTCTCGACTGGTATTTTTCGCAAATACCCCTCCTTAACATGATATATCTGTTCAAAATCCCTATCCATAACAGTGCCTTTATATCTATGTGAAGGGTGCCTTAAAAGTGTAGTCCTCCACGCAAAGGGTGCCCTTAAAGTGTAGCCAATCGCGCTAAGAGTGCCCTCGAAGAAAAAAATTACCCTGCCCTTTTTAAAAGCTGCAGGAAACACTGTAATGGGATATTAAATATAAGTAGTCAAGATAGTTGATTCTTATGAAAGGAAACAAAAGATAAATGGAATGATTTTGCTCATTAATATCCTATATGTACCTATTCAGGGAATTATACACCCCTCTAAATCAACACAAAAAAAATAAATAAGATTTAAAAAACAAAATTTGTTTCTTTTTACTTAACAAAAAATATTGCATACTAACAACATTCTTTCCTTAAGATCATAACTATGATTCAAGTAACAGTTTCCTGAGTGGTCATAAAAGTACAAATGTATTTACAATTTATGTACAACAAAATGTACATTTTATAAAGTATAAATGAATTTAGTGTATTTGTAAATTAAAACATTAAATACCAGTAGTCATTTGATTGATTTATAGTTGGTGTTTTGAATACACCCAGCATAATAAAAAGAATGCCCATACAAATAATCTGATCTATAACCATGATAACAAACTAGATGAACTTGAAATGGATGGTATGAAATGAACACAAAATGAAAAGGGGAACAAATTTCTAAATCCACAGGAAATATATGGAGAATTGGGAAGGGGCATTGTAAGTTAAAATTTTTTAACCACAGCATTTGCCCGCAAATGATGCTTGATGCGTCTTTTCTTGCTAGGATAGTAGCACTCCCAACATAAATGTCATGATATACAATAGTATTGAAAGTGTAAACTAAGATCTCTAATGTTTATTTTACAACAGAAAGATTGTCATATGGTATGGATATGTTGTTTGCTTTATGAATGTAGACCTGATTAAAACCCAAACCATAATTTGTTTGATATTTTCTTGTAAACGCTCAAAACGGGAGGGTTGGCAGGTATGCTTGTAAGTGATCTTTTCTGTTTCAGTCTTTCCTTTTTTTTTTAGCTCACCGTTTCGAAGGAACTGTGAGCTTTAGCCATCACTTGGCGTCCGTCGTCGTCCTCCGTCGTCGATTGTCTGGTGTAAACTATTTCAAACATCTTCTCCTCTGAAACTACAGAACCAATTCCAACCAAACTTAAGCTGAATGATCCTTAGGGTATCTAGAATAAAGAGTTTGTTTTATTTTCTGTTTTGTCATAAAACATGGCCGCCATGGCTAAAAATAGAACATAGGGGTAAAATGCAGTTTTTGGCTTATATCTCAAAAACCAAAGCAGTTAGATCAAATCTGACATGGGGTAAAAGTGTTCATTAGATAAAGTTGTATCAGCCCTGATAATTTTCAGATGAATCTAATAACCCATTGTTGGGTTGCTGCCACTAAATTGGTAATTTTAAGGAAATTTTGCAGTTTTTATACAACCGCAAACAAATTTTGCGGTCGTATATTGGTATGACTTTGGCGTCGTCGTCGTCGTCGTTGTCCGAAGACACATTGGTTTTCGCACTCTAACTTTAGTTTAAGTAAATGGATCTCTATGAAATTTTACCATAAGGTTCAATACCACAAAAGAAAGGTTGGGATTGATTTTGGGGGTTATGGTACCAACAGTTAAGGAATTAGGGCCCAAAAAGGGACCAAAAATAAGCATTTTTGTAACTTCCAGACATAACTTGTGTGTTAGTGTATGGGTCTCTATGGCATTGTACCACAAGGTTCCATATCACAAAGGGAATGCTGGGATTGATTTTGGGGGTAATTGCCTCAACATTTTAGGAATTAGGGGCAAAAAACAAGCATTTTTCTAGTTTCATGATAATAACTTGTGCGTAAGTGTATGGATCTTTCTGAGATTGTACTACAAGGTTCCATATCACAAAGGGAAAGCTGGAATTGAGTTTGGGGGTAATTGCCCAAAATGTTTAGGAATGAGGGGCCAAAAATAAGCATTTTTCTAGTTTCCAGACAATAACTTGTCTTCAAGTGTATGGATCTCTCTGAAATTGTACTGCAAGGTACCATACCACAAAGGGAAGGCTGGGATTGATGATGGGGGTAATTGCCTCAATATTTTAGGAATTAGGGGCAAAAAACAAGCATTTTTCTACTTTCAGGACAATAACTTGTGTGTAAGTGTATGGATCTTTCTGAAATTGTACTACAAGGTTCCATATCACAAAGGGAAAGCTGGGTTTGAGTTTTGGGGTAATTGCCCTAAACGTTTAGGAATTTGGGGCCAAAAAGGGGCCAAAAAACACATTTTTCTAGTTTCCAGACAATAACTTGTGTTCAAGTGTATGGATCTCTCTGAAATTGTACTGCAAGGCACCATACCACAAAGGGAAGGCTGGGATTGAGTTTGGGGGTGATGAATCATAAGGGGGTTCAAAAAATTTGGGGGGGGGGATTTTTTTTTTTTCCTTTTTTTTCTTTTTTTCCTTTTTTTTTTCTTTTAAAATTTTCCATTTTAAGTTGGTTATTTCTGATTTATATTTAAAAGCAAATAATAATGATATGGTAGGAGATACACACCAAACAGGATGTGTAAATTATTATATAATAAGTATTGTGCAATAGCAAGAAATTTTCAATTGCACAGTATTGCACAATAGCAAGAAATCTTCAATTGCACAGTATTGCGCAATAGCAAGAAATCTTCAATTGCACAGTATTGCGCAATAGCAAGAAATATCCAATAGCACAATATTGCGCAATAGCAAGAAATTGTCAATTGTACAGTATTGCGCAATAGCAAGAAATATTTAATTGAACAATATTGTGCAAAAGAAGATACTTCGTATAAATTGCTTATTTCTTGACCAATTTCAGTGGGGTTTTATTCTTGAATTCTTGGGGTTTTTTAATATGCTGAATCTAACCGTGTATTTAGTTTTTGGAATTTTGGGCCCCGTTTTTAAATTGGTCCACATTGAGGTCCAAAGGGTCCAAAATTAAACTTTGTTTGATTTCATCAAAAATTGAATTATAGGGGTTCTTTGATATGCCGAATCTAACCGTGTATTTAGATTCTTAATTTTTGGTTCCGTTTTCAAATTGGTCTACATTAAGGTCCAAAGGGTCCAAAATTAAACTTAGTTTGATTTTAACAAAAAATGAATTCTTAGGGTTCTTTGATATGCTGAATCTAAACATGTATTTAGATTTTTGATTATGGGCCCAGTTTTCAAGTTGGTCCAAATCGGGGTCCAAAATTAAACTTTGTTTGATTTCAACAAAAATTGAATATATGGGGTTCTTTGATATGCTGAATCTAACCATGTATTTAGATTTTTGATTTTTGGGCCCCGTTATCAACTTTGTCCACATTGAGGTCAAAAGGGTCCAAAATTATACTTTGTTTGATTTCATCAAAAATTGAATTCTTGGGGTTCTTTGATATGCTGAATCTAACCATGTATTTAGATTTTGGATATTGGACCATAATAGGTGAATGTCCAATTTAAAATTTTTAAGTTCTTAGACCACATTCATTCTGTGTCAGAAACCTATACTGTGTCAAATATTTAATCACAATCCAAATGCAAAGCTGTATCAAGCTTGAATGTTGTGTCCATACTTGCCCCAACTGTTCAGGGTTCGACCTCTGTGGTCGTATCAAGCTGCACCCTGCGGAGCATTTTATTGGTTATTATCTTGAATAGTATTAATGATAAAGATAAACTGTAAACAGCAAATATGTTCAGCAAAGTAAGATCTACAAATAAGTTTATATGACCAAAATTGTCAATTGACCCCTTAAGGAGTACATGTATTGCCCTTTGAGGACAATTTTTAACAATTTGTTCATCTAGTTTGCTTACTTTAAAAATCTTCTCCTTTGAAACTGCTGAATCAATTTCAGCCAAACTTGGTGAGGTGAGCGATTCAGGCTCTTGAGAGCCTCTTGTTAATATGTTTGTTGAAACCAAAATATCTCCAGTGAAACAGGGGGTAAATCTGTTTTCTATTTTAAGCTATTTACACAAGGACACACACATTGTGGGTCTGTAATGATTTTTTTATTTTTAGTTTGTTTGTTTTGGTGGATCACCATCCCGGATGGAGAAGTTTGCATATTACATGGTAGATCAGCTGAAATTTAAGTTAACACCAGGACAGACGCTATATAACATTTCTAAAGGATCAGATAGATATGTGTTATATAAAATGGGACCAATTATTTCAGTTAGTGTAAGTAAGAGAAGAAAAGAAGGCAGAAAGTTTCCGATGTTGATAATAGATATCAATATGAAAATAATTAGATGTTAAAATTGAGAATGGAAATGGGGAATGTGTCAAAGAGACAACAACCGGACCAAAGAGTTGTATGATTGCCAATGAAACAACTATCTACAAAATGACATAGATGTAAACAACTATAGGTCACTGCTTCAACAACAAGCAAACCCATACCATACAGAAAGCTATAAAAGGCCTAGACATCAATACATAATAAAAATAATATAACAAGGAGTACAGCCTGATTAATGTACAAAACAATAAACAATAAACAAATCTGACAGACGGTAAGAGCTGTCAACCACTGAATTACAGACTACTGACTTGGGACAGGCACATACAAAATGTTATTTGATTGAGTTAAATATGTTTGTGGTTGCTCAACACTGCCCTAACCTGGGACATTGGTGTAATAGCACAACATAAGAACAAACTGTAAAAATCATTTGAAAAATCAGTTGATAAGATTGCATTTTACAATCAAAACCCTTATGGAGCTGGCTTGATAGCTGATAATTTTACAAACTTTATTTCTTTTGAGATGAAAAAATATAGTGCTCTATAAAGAATTATTTAAAATTTTATATGTCCTATCCATGAACTTTTTAAGAATTTATCAATGAACTTTATACTCTGATATTCAAGTTGCAAATAATGTGTAGGTGTATAACCATGCTTGTCAAGAAAAGAAAATGAATTGTGCATGGTGTATGAATCTAGTATCTGTTCTAAAAATATCAATGTTGTCATTGTTTACGCAAAATTTCAAATTGGAGTTATCTACTTTTGTCCATAATTGTAGTTGAACCCCCAACACTTTATACAATGCAATGGGTACCCTTCAGTGCTCAAAGGCTTTTTGATTTTCTATTATGATTAATTTAGAGTGAATGTTTTATTGCAAAATCATTAAGTTGACTGGTTTTGTTTACAGCATGGTATGGGAATTCCATCTTTGTCTATTTTGATTCATGAAATTCTGAAGCTGCTTCAGCATGCTGGGTGTGATCCTTCAGAGGTGGTTTTCTTCAGACTGGGAACCAGTGGTGGATTAGGTAAGTATCAATATAGAATGTACTGGACTACAGTCTCCTAGCTAGGGACAGGCACATAAAGAATGTGGCCTGGTAAAACATGTTTGTGAGCGCTCAACCTTCCCCCTTAGGGGTTGACTCATCAAAAACTGTATCGTAGCAAGACAGGAACAGTTGGCTATTAAAGGGGCACAATTGGTACCTTTCAGAATACTTACAACACATTTGATAAACTTTATAGCTGAACATACACAGATGTTATCAGGGAGAAGATTAACAGCTTTAATCATGATCTAATCACAGTTTCTGTACATATTTCTTGCATAATTATCTTTTTCAGTATTGAAGATGTGGATTGACACAAATACATTTGCAATGATATTTATATAAGTACAATTTGATTAATTTAAAAACTTCTGTGAAATAAGATTCATGTGTGGAAGTGTGATGTAGAGGATCGTATAGCTTTAAGACGACAATGGATAAAAAAAAATTCTCTGACTGCTCATTATGTCTTTACACTAGATCCATTTAAGTTGTACTGATTGTTTTTAGTCTGGGAAATTTGGTCAATTTATCAGTTGAAATTGGGCTTTGAACTGGCTTTCAGAAACTGTGAATACATAGGTACTTTGTGTTTTTATTAGAGCTATTTTCCTAATGCTTGTAGATTAAAGGTTTGGTTAGCTTGCTTGCTTTGTTTGTATAGATGTTTTCTCAAGCATTGTAATTAAGATTGACATCTTCAATCAATAGATAGGCAGGACTTCAGCTTGTATACATTATACTCAACATCCAATAACATTTGGATAAAATGTATACAAGCTGAAGCCCCGCCTATCTATTGATTGCAGATGTCAATCTTAATTACAATGCTTGAGCAAACATTTATACAAACAAAGCAAGCAAGCCAACAAGACCTTTAAAGTACAAGCATTAGGAAAATAGCTCTAATTTTGTGAATGTTTTTGTTTTAAGGTGTTGCTTAGCACGGCTCATTTAACATATATGTTTAATGAAATACATATCTATTGTTGCTCCTGGTTACACCAAAAGATGTTTTAAATGAAAAAGAAACTTATTATGTTGCTGCATTTAAGATTAGAAATTGTATATATATGTAGATCAAAAGAACCATTAACCTTCAATGTTTTTAAGAAACCACTTGCACATTTGTGCTGTCATATGTATAGGACATAGCACTTTATCAGTAGTAAATTGACCTTTAATCTAGTTTCCATTGCTCCAATTTATTTTTCCATTGCCCCAGCATCTATAGTCACCATGCTATACAGTGAGCTGTTTCAAATTTGAAAAATATTGAAATATTGTTTGTTTGTGGTCAAGCTATTTTAAAATTATCATCATGTTATTCAAGGCCAACAAACTAGATTGAAAATGTATATATTTCAGATTTGTTGATATGAGTATATAATATATCTGTTGTAGGGTTAGATGCTGGAACAGTGGTTATATCTGAAGCAGCAGTTGATGGAATTCTTAGATCATACATGGAAATTGTAAGTAGAGAAGTATAAGTTAGGATACCAATATATGTAAAACTCAGAAAATCATGAAAGATGATTAGATCTAGACCATGAAAAAAATCCATGGGAGTGTTGTACACTAAATGATATTTTCTTCTGTTGGTAATAGGGGTGTAAGCAGATACAATTCTGTTTCAAATAAATACAACATCACATGCAGTTTTGTGAGTTGATTCTTGTATTTTCATCTACTTAGAAGATATTTTTTTTATTCAGGTAAATCAATCAATGAGTGATGGATTTCTCTTAGAAGAAATTTAAAGGTCCCAGTGAAAAAAACTACACACAGAACAATAGCTATTGTATTTATTCAATGGGACAATAGAACTGACAAAAGTTAAAATACCCTGACCAAGAGGAGATGACTCTGTGGAAAAGTTTCATTTAGTTTGCAATAACAGAACCTTGTTTTTACATGCTTATTTTGTATATAAATCATGAAACTATTTTGCATTTTGGTTTAGAAACAGGATATGTTTTTTAAATATATTAAAATGTTATTAAGGTTTTCATTAATTTCTTTAAGGGGTTCAAGTACATTGCTACATAAATGTTTTTTTTTTAGATTTAATGTAGAAACAAAGATGAATGGTAGAGTCAAAACAGTGTTTTTACTTCCTTCAAAATTGCTGATTGTTTATTAACCTTTTTTTTTATTTGTACTTGAAGTTTATACAGTTTCAATCCAGAGAATAGCTACATCAAATTGATATTGAAATGACATGAAAAATTTACTTTAGAAAATATACATTTTTAATTTTTATACAAAATAAAACTTCATCATAGTTACATACTTGTCATGAAATTCCATTTTGCAGATAAAGTTATAACTAATTAAAGTTTTAAAATCCGAAATTGAAATTTAATAGCATTTTGGTTCTGTTTACAGCCAACATTAGGACTGATTATACAACATCCTGCCAAATTAGATGAAGCACTAAACAAAGAACTACTGCAAATTTCTGAAGAAATTGGATGCAAGTCTGAGTTAGGAAAGACTATGTGTACATATGATTTTTACGAAGGTAATTGCAGGATAAGAAAAAAATATTTGATGTTGAAGGCTGATTTAACTTGCCTAAGGTTTTGGGTTATAGATTAACTTTTATTGTGTTTATAAAAAAATGACAGAGATCCTTATGACAGGAGATGTAGATATAAATGTATTTCATTTATTTATAAAAATAAGGAGATGTGGTATGATTGCCAATGAGACAACTATCTTGCAAAGTTCAAATGAAGTGACTGTAAGTGTTTGTTTACTTTTGTTATGAAGGATTTAAAAAAACTATATTCATAGGCTATTGTGATGCCTCCTTATGGAAAATATATCGGTGTTTTGTTCCTCTTTATAAAAGAACATTGCTGATGCAGAAATTTTTGAATTGATAAAGACATAAAACATTTCTGAGACCATTTGACAGAAAGCATTCATGCTTGGTAGAATTGTTTGTTTATGTTGTGTGGGTGACCATACTATACCATCATTTTTTATTTGACAATTCTTGTGGGAGTTATGGGATTGCACTGATTTTTTTACGCCTGTTTACGGGACGTATTATGGTATACCGTTGTCCGTCCGTCGTCAACATGTCGGACATTAACTCAAAAACACTTTAAATAATATGCATGAAACTTTGGTGAATTGTTTATATCTATTGACGTGAGCTCCCTTTCGTTTTTTATAAATTTCAGAATTACCGTTTCTGAGTTTTGGGGTTTTATTCATTAAAAATGGGGGGATTTTCAAGTTTTCCGACAATAACTCAAGAATGCTTTCACTAACTTGCAAGAAATTTTGGTGAATTGTTAATATCTATTGACATGAGCTCCCTTTCGATTTTTATAAATTTTAGATCTTACGTTTATGAGTTACAGGGTTTTATTCAAAAAAAGGGGGATTTTCCATTTTTTGGACAATAACTAAAAAATACTTTCAGCAGTTCTCATGAGACTTTGATGAATTGTTTATATCTGTTGATGTAAGCTCCCTTTAGAATTTTATAAATTTTAGATTTTACATTTCTGAGTTATGGGGTTTTATTCATTAAAAAAGGGGGGATTTTCCAGTTTTTGGACAATAACTCAAAAATGCTTTAAGCAGTTCGCATGAAACTTTGGTGAATTATTTATAGCTATTGATGTAATCTCCCTATTGATTTTCATAAATTTCAAATATGACATTGAGAAGAAATTGAACTTTATTTGTTTATAGTCTGACAACAGATTTACTAAGTATTGCGCAACAGCAGTGTATTGCACAACAGCAAGAAATCTTTAATTGAATATAAATTCAATTCATATAACCAATTTCAAGTTCTTTGACTACATTTATTCAGAAACCTATAATATGTCAAATATTTAATTATCAAGCTTGAATATTGTGTCCATTTTTGCCCCAACTGTTCAGGGTTGGACCTCTTTGGGCGTATCCAGCTGCGCTCAGCGAAGCAGTTTATTTTGTCTCACTTTAAGAGTCATGACTTAGGCATGCTGTTTGTGATTAGGTCAGTTTAAGGGGAATCACCAATGGTAAGTCACATATATTTGGTACACAGTTTTATTACCATTGGCACCTCTGATATGGAGATTATTTGGAATCCATCCCCTCAGTTATGGTCGATTGTCTTTAAAACTTTTGCATTGTTCACATGTTACACAGGCAAGGCATATCTCTTTGCAAACTGTTTATTTACTATTGTTTAACAAAGGCATCTTGTGAAGGAAACTCCTCTGAGACAGTATATCAGAAGGCTTTCATGATATACTGTACCATTATGCTGATTTGACATTTTGATAAGGAGTTATTGGACTTTGACAGTTTTCTTCACTATTGTAACTAGTGTTTGCAACAGTTAACCTGTTTACGGATTAATCTTCAGAAGTACTGAATATCAAATGCTAAAAATGTTAACCCCGTTGATTTGACCTTTTTTCAAATTATGATCAATTTGACAACACTAATTGTAATACAATGACACCTTGTGAATGCAACATCTCAAAGACTGTTTCCCCTAAAGCTTTTATACTTAGAAGAATTGTTTGTCATCATGTTGACCACACTTTTTTGTTATTTTGATTTTACAGTTTCTGCTGGGGTAATGGGAATTTCATTATCTTCAGCCTATTACAGTATACTCACACTTTGTGATTGTTTCTCTACTGAAACCATAAATGTCAGAACCTTGGCAAATGTGGGATTTTTTGTCTGACACCATATAAGGTTGACCCTACAATACCTTCAGTCTTACTTGGCAATTCCTGTGGGAGTTAATGAAAACCCTACAATAACATCAGTCTTACTTGGCAATTCCTGTGGGAGTTAATGAAAACCCTACAATAACTTCAGTCTTACTTGGCAATTCCTGTGGGAGTTAATGAAAACCCTACAATACCTTCAGTCTTACTTGGCAATTCCTGTGGGAGTTAATGAAAACCCTACAATAACTTCAGTCTTACTTGGCAATTCCTGTGGGAGTTAAATGAAATTAGACACGTTTCAACTTTACAGTTGTATCTCAATGACACCATGTAAATGCAACTTCTTTTAGACTGTTTGCCAGAAAGTTGTACAGAAGTCTACTGTTCAGACAATTATATCCCACAGGTAAACAGTAGCTGGGGACATTTTTTATACAGCGTATCAATCTTGTTATTTTTTAAGGTCAAGCAAGGTTAGATGGAGCATTCTGTGATTATACAGAAGAAGATAAACTAGCTTTCCTTAAGAGAGCACATGAGAGGGGCGTCAGAAACATAGAAATGGAATCCTTATGCTTTGCTGCCATGACGCATCGTGCCGGTGTAAAAAGTAAGTCATTGTCCTCAAAGCTTGTACATACCTTTTTATTTTGAAGTTGCTTTAAGCAAACAAATATTTAATGAAGGTTTGTAATTCTCTGAAAAACTTGTAAAATTTATTAGTAATAATTACTTCTTTACTATCTTGTAGCTTTATGTGCTTATATATGTGTTATACTGAACTGTGGCAACAAAAAATATATTCTGTTTTTTTTTCATCCAAATTGAATAAAAAAGAAGGTTAGAATATGAAACAAACTAGTAACTTTTATAGTTATCTGCAAGAAACTTAAAATATTTGACAAAGTAGTGTATAACCCTGTACAATACACCAAACAAATCAGATAAAACCAGGAGAGTATTTCTAACCATGGAATGAAAAATTATATGGCCAACACAGGTGCTTAAGTGCAAAAAATACTGTGGCAGGGGCAGATAATAACGCTTCCAATTTGTAAATGTGTGCTACTCTTCACAGGTGCTGTTTTATGTGTAACATTGTTAGATCGTCTCAATGGTGACCAGATAAACACTCCTCATGATATAATGGAGGAATGGCAAGCTCGACCTCAAAGAATAGTAGCTGCTTACATTAAAAAGAAACTTGGAATGCAATATAAGAGTTGATAGTTTCACAAGAATATATGATGATGATGACAGAGAAAAGATCACCAGACAAAATTATTAGCAATTCTCCTTGTAACATAATGCTTACTATGATTTTAATACTTTTTTAAAATGCAATACAGTCAAATCTAATACAAGTTGTGACTGAAAATGACATTTGTTCCACTTAGCAGCAAAAATTGTTTATTATTAAATATTTCAGTATTTTAGATTAGAATGTGTAGTAAAACTAAGGTACCCAAGATTATGGTTCCAATCAGATCCACCAAAAATATGCTTAACATGCTTTAGATTGTTAATCTATGATATTTTAAAGGGACTCTTAGTCACAATTGTGATATAAGATTTTGTAGAAATTAAATGTAACATGCAATTTAGTCTCTAGATAACCTGAGTCAAAGAGTTAGTTTGCGTTATGGCCAACACATGGGAAATCAAAGATTAATCATATTGAAGAATTTGCAGTGCATAGTATTCACTTGTGTGTTTCTATGACCTTCTAAATGAACAAATATTAATACTGTGGATTCATTATGATTTAAGACCCCTTTTTGGCCCCAAAATATAGCATTTTTACAAATTTGTTGAAATGTAAACTTTTAGCTATTTATTGGAAAGTAGAATATTTTTGTTTCATAAATATGGGCTGTTTTTGACAAAACAATGCACATGCATCAGGTACTTGCTTCATAAATTCATGCAATCAGTGTATGAGTTTTTATTGATGTTTTCTTTGGAATAATACACTGAATAAAAAGATAATTTTTTGACAGAGGCCAATCTTAGAGGCTTCTTTTCCTGTGATGGTCTTACTAGTGTGGAGCTAATATATCTGTAAATCACACACTTATCAACATGAAAACAAGCATTCTGAGAGTACCTTAGATTTTAATTGTGATAGCTTTATTAAATTTCATAAGGCTTTTCAATAGAATAGAGCTTATATTTTTAAAGCTTTCTGTTTATGCGTAGTAAAACCTTGTAAATGTCTGTCCTAAGCCATGGATAAAGTCAGGCTAGTAAAATTTTGGTTTGTAGAATAATAAATCATATACCAATGTTTTACTTTATTTTAGCCAAGTTTGTTATATTTGTTTCAGTTTAGTTATAGTATTTAAAATTTCATAACTTTATTAAGATAATATGAAAGTTAGCCTTAAAGATCTCAGATTTAAAACAACTATTGCTCTAAGCGATACTGGTGTTTTGCAGATTTCAAAATTTACCTGAAAATATGAAAAAAAAATGGATATCAGAATGAGCTATATATGGAATAAGATTTGTGTTATGTGCTAATCTGTCTTAGTTGTTGAAATATAGTTTTGTTAGATTTTATTTATTGTATTAATTTATTTTGTCATTTTGTTGTTAAATCAATTTGCTTCTATATGCTTAATTTATTAATTACCCAGACAAATTATATTTATTATTCATCTACCCAAGGTAAATATTTTCATTGTTATTTATTTTGCAAGTCATGCATTCCTTCTTTTATTTGTTTGACATATCATTATAAATTGGGTGTATTGCCAGAGGAAAGAGCAATTCTAACCTCTTGATCCTGTCTGAACCACAAGAGAGTACCTAGTTTATATCATCTGTTACTCTATAAGTTATTATTCAAAATTATTCAACCTATGGACAGATTTGAATTGATTTTTCTCTGGTTTTTCATAAATGGAACTTGCTTATTTTTTCATTGAATGCTATAAGGTGTATCTAGTTTGTATTAATTGTAAATCAAACAGTTTTTCGTCAACATTGATCAAACTTTGCATTTAGAGCCAAATGGGAAATTTTCCTTTTTTCAAAAATTGACAAATTCTTACACTAGAGAATTTTCCAATCCTTAAGGCGCTGAATGATGTTTTTCAAAATAGCATTGTGCGATACAAGTCAATATTAATCTAGTTTTATTATTTAATTAATGCCCTCTTTTACTTTAAGTTGCAAGATTTGTTTTATTCTGGCAAGTAAATTGCAACAACCTTTAAAAGGGAAATTCATACCTGTTGATTTTAATGCCTTCAAATATACAAAAAAACTTTGGTATTGATAGAGCATTCTTTAAGCAACTCATTTGCTAAAAAAGGGAAAAATATTCTGTTTCTTGTTTGTATGGTGGTAAAAAACATTAACTTTATAACTATAAAAAAATACTTTCCGTAAAGGGAAATAATTCTTTCAAATGGGAGATAATTAACATTACAATAAAATTTCAGGGTTGCAGAAACGTTTTATCTTTTTATTTTTTTAATTTAGACCACTTAAAATTTGTGGCTCAATTTATTATTATCAATGGTCACTGTTCACCCGACTACTATTTGCATGAATGCTTGAATATGGAAATCCTTAAAATTGAAATCCTTGTTTATTTTACATATCCTTCTCTTTATTGAAATGTATACAGCTGTCCTAAATTTTAAACTCTTTGTCAATTTTCTTGAAAGATATAACTCTGTTTTATGGAATTTATCTTAAGCTATGTTTATTAAGAAGTCTTATTGAATGTATGAGATTGAGAGAAGCTTTTGGAGTATAATGTTGACAGGAAGTCATAGGTTCAATTCCTTCCTGGGTCATCAACTAGACTTTAAAATTGGTATTTGCTGCTTCTCTGTCTAGCAAGTGGCTTAAAGAGTAGAAGCAAAGAATTTTAAGCTCGAGTCAGAATAATTTGTCTGGGTAGGGTGATATTTCATCCTACAGACTGTTACCTTGTTGGCTAGAACGTTAAACATCTGACTCAGCATGTCAATCTAGTAGCAGAGTATATTTATTTCACATTAAACCACTTTCGTTTTAATATGCATGTAATATTTGCTGCTGGACATTAAGTAGCCATTAGTTTATGAGTCATCAGAAACATAGTACAACAACAATCGTTCCTTAACATTTTGGATTTGATGGTCAGTAATATTCATTTAACTGGATCTGCTCTGCATCTCCAGAAAAACTTCATTTGTGACTATAAAATCCCTAATTGACAATGGCAACTCTTCAAACATGGTACTATTTTTCCTTAATAATAACCTGTAATGTACCATAGACCCCTTTGGGACTTACAGAAATCAGTAAGTTAGACCAGTTAAAACACATAAAGTTTGTGCAATACAGGATATCAGAAATTGGGATAAATTAAAATAATTGATAATTTATAATAGGCTGTATCTGTTTTCCCTATTTTTGTCTTGTTTGTTTTTGGCATCATCAGCATAGGGGGCATTAACAGTTGTTTGGGTTTGGGATTTGGTAACAAAGACAAGACATATCTCTGTGTTAACAGTTAATTACAATTTTTCTTTATAAAACATGTAATAAAGAGGTGTTATGTTTTACTTTACCTGAAACCTTGATAGTTAATTTGTCTATTTGTGCTATTAGGTAATTTAACATTAGTTCTATTTTTATATCACCTTAAGGAATGTTTAAATAAATGTGGAGTGTTTAGTTGTTGAAAATCTTCAGTGTTAAGATATGATTAATACATTATTAGATTGATGAAGACGTTACATATCTTATTTCATTTTTATTGAAACTTAATCTTTTAAAATGTAATGCATGGTACATGTGTTTTGTATATTCTTGTTAATCTGTTTGATTGTTATTTTTTGTGTATAATAGTGCAAGGTGTGTAATAAAAAGAAATACTATAACACCTAAACATAAAAGTAACTCTGCATTAAGTAAAATCCCTACATTTCCAAATCATACTTTATAGATTGATCTTTATTAACATATTTTGATTACATAATCACATTTAAATTTTTGTTTCGACCTAAAAATTCTGACTAAATATGAAATAAAAAAAGTATCAATTTCAATTTAACAAATAAACATTGAAGGACAGGGGCTTCTATATTTCTGCTTATATAACAAAAGCACCTGCTTTTATTAAATATGTACTATATAAAGGTTAACATTTTCATATTAAATTAATTCCTTGTTATACTTGTTAATTTGTTATTTTATTCATTATATCCTCTGATAAAAATTTTATAAATTCATGTAGCAAGACCAAAGTTTTTATATATTCTGACCAACATATAGAGTACAATTTGTCCCTACCTCATTTTTATACGACCGCAAAAATTAAAAATTTTTTGGTCGTATATTGGTATGACGTTGGCGTCGTCGTCGTCTGGCGTCGTCCGGGGTCGTCTGAAGACACATTGGTTTTCGCACTCTAACTTTAGTTTAAGTGAATAGATCTCCATGAAATTTTACCATAAGGTTCAATACCACGAAAGGAAGGTTGGAATTGATTTTGGGGGTTATGGTACCAACAGTTAAGGAATTAGGGGCCAAAAAGGGGCCAAAAATAAGCATTTTTGTAACTTCCAGACAATAACTTGTGTGTAAGTGTATGGATATCTCTGACATTGTACCACAAGGTTCCATATCACAAAGGGAAGGCTGTAATTGATTTTGGGGGTAATTGCCTCAAAATTTTAGGAATTAGGGGCCAAAAAAAGGGGCAAAAAACAAGCATTTTTCTAGTTTCATGACAATAACTTGTGTGTAAGTGTTTGGATATTTCTGAAATTGTACTACAAGGTTCCATATCACAAAGGGAAAGCTGGAATTGATTTTGGGGGTAATTGCCCGAAACGTTTAGGGATTGGGGGCCAAAAAGGGGCCAAAAATAAGCATTTTTCTAGTTTCCGGACAATAACTTGTGTTCAAGAGTATGGATCTCTCTGAAATTGTACTGCAAGGTACCATACCACAAAGGGAAGGCTGGGATTGAGTTTGGGGGTGATGAATCATAAGGGGGTTCAAAAAATTTGGGGGGGGGATTTTTTTTTCTTTCTTTTTTTTTTTTTTCCTTTTTTTTTCCTTTTTAAATTTTCCATTTTAAGTTGGTTATTTCTGATTTATATTTAAAAGCAAATAATAATGATATGGTAGGAGATACACACCAAACAGGATGTGTAAATTATTATATAATAAGTATTGTGCAATAGCAAGAAATTTTCAATTGCACAGTATTGCACAATAGCAAGAAATCTTCAATTGCACAGTATTGCGCAATAGCAAGAAATCTTCAATTGCACAGTATTGCGCAATAGCAAGAAATATCCAATAGCACAATATTGCGCAAAAGCAAGAAATTGTCAATTGTACAGTATTGCGCAATAGCAAGAAATATTCAATTGCACAGTATTGTGCAAAAGAAGATACTTCGTATAAATTGCTTATTTCTTGATCAATTTCAATGGGGTTTTATTCTTGAATTCTTGGGGTTCTTTAATATGCTGAATCTAACCGTGTATTAAGTTTTTGGATTTTAAGCCCCGTTTTTAAATTGGTCCACATTGAGGTCCAAAGGGTCCAAAATTTAACTTTGTTTGATTTCATCAAAAATTTATTTATTGGGGTTCTTTGATATGCCGAATCTAACCGTGTATTTAGATTCTTAATTTTTGGTTCCGTTTTCAAATTGGTCTACATAAAGGTCCAAAGGGTCCAAAATTAAACTTAGTTTGATTTTAACAAAAATTGAATTTTTAGGGTTCTTTGATATGCTGAATCTAAACATGTATTTAGATTTTTGATTATGGGCCCAGTTTTCAAGTTGGTCCAAATCGGGGTCCAAAATTAAACTTTGTTTGATTTCAACAAAAATTGAATATATTGGGTTCTTTGATATGCTGAATCTAACCATGTATTTAGATTTTTGATTTTTGGGCCCCGTTATCAACTTTGTCCACATAGAGATCAAAAGGGTCCAAAATTAAACTTTGTTTGATTTCATTAAAAATTGAATTCTTGGGGTTCTTTGATATGCTGAATCTAACCATGTATTTAGATTTTGGATATTGGACCATAATAGGTGAATGTCCAATTTAAAATTTTTAAGTTCTTAGACCACATTCATTCTGTGTCAGAAACCTATGCTGTGTCAAATATTTAATCACAATCCAAATTCAGAGCTGTATCAAGCTTGAATGTTGTGTCCATACTTGCCCCAACTGTTCAGGGTTCGACCTCTGCGGTCGTATCAAGCTGCGCCATGCGGAGCATTTTATTTAATATGATGTCAATTAAACACTGAATGCAATTTTTAATGAAAAAATCACACAACTACTTCAAAAAATCAATGACAAATAAAATATAGTATATGCCAAAACACATAATTAACAGTGTCTGGTGATGATCCATAGCCTGACAGGTTTCGGTCCCTCACTGACCTTCCTCAGAGGCAGACTGGTGGATTAATAGTTGCACCCTATTTATATAGATCCGGTATCCGTCTGATAGTTTTCCAGCGGATAATAGTTATCCGGTATCCAGCGGATCCTTTCAACTAAAAAACCAGTGGAATTTTCCTTGGTTACAGTAAACTTTATATGATGTTACGGTAAACATTTTACCTAATGATAAAACCCAAATTTGGGCTTGTACATTGTGGTACAGGGTGTCTTCATTGTAATTAAAGTACATGGTAGTCATGCAGTCTTGATCTTTGGCTTATGATACCCCTAATTATCAAGTCTTCAAATATAATAGTATTACATGGTAGTCATGCCGTCATGATGTTCTAGCTTGTGATTGGCCAAAATATCAAGTCTAAACTATTACCCCCCCAACAAAACGTTTGTTGGGGAGAGGGATTTAATCAATAAAAGCTTTATTTAAGCCTTCCATATTCCCTTCTAAAAGTTAAAGGGTAATAGTATATTAATCATCAGTGTTTAAGAGTTTTTAAACACCTTTGGTTTGTGATTCAGGTATTACATATGCTCATCCAGTTCAGGTAATCAGACTATATGACTACCATGTGCTTAAATTACAATGAAGACACCCTGTACCACAATGTAGGTAAAATGTTTACCGTAACATCATATAAAGTTTGCTGTAACCAAGGAAAATTCCACTGGAATTTTTAGCTGAAAGGATCCGCCGGATACCCGATAACTATTTTCCGCCAGACAACTCTTATCTGCCGGATACTGGATCTATATAAATAGGGTGCAACTATTAATC